GCTGACCTTAAGGTTCGCAGCCCGATTCGTAACCACTACGCTAATGGTAAACTATAGCACCCCAATTCCAACACGAAGCCTCGTAGTCTAGACCCTTCAGAAATGAAGGTTTGGTCACACCAGCAGGCAAAGAACCCCAGCCAGCTGAGGTGCTTCCTGAGGGTAAAGAGAACAGACTGAGCTAAAGGAGGTAGTTCTAAATGCCACTTAGGGCCACATGGTCAGATGCAGAAGAGAGAGCTGTAATTGTTTTAAATATAAATACATATCTATATATATACAGTTTGATTTGTTTTAAATGTATACATCAAATATTTTGGCTTTGTTCATTTGTGAAATATAAGATGTAAACGGGATCAGTGCATTCTCAGTTGGACGCATTTTAGTTAGTTACACCATGTTAGGTGCAAGTATGACTTACAATTTTCTTTATTTAGATTATTTATATGGTTTATTGGTGCCAAGGTGACAAGGGATAAACTGTGATAGTTAGGTTTTCTGTCAACTTGATTGAACCAAGATTCCCAATTGTTTGGCAGTTGATAATTAACTCTATGATGATTGGCTAAGAGCAGGCATAGTTAACTCTATGATGAGTCGCTAAAAGCAGTCAATCAATTGAAAGGGTATTTCCTTGGGGGTGTGACCTGCTTCCAATATAATGGACATGCGGGAGACTTGCACTCTTCTTCCCGGCTGTGTCCAGATCATGAGTCTGGGCTGTCCTCCAACCTCCAGTTCTTTGAACCTGAGTCAGTGGCCTGCCCTATAGTACATCTGCCTCCTGGCCTGCCCACTGACTACATCTGGTAAACCAGAGGCCCACCAGAGGATGCTGCTGCACACCTGTTCCTGTCTCCCTGGCTCATGTGCCCCACGTCACCAGTTCTGCAACATGCCTGCCCAGACCGTGGTTGGCTGTCACCCTGCTGCTGCCCTTGCTCCAGCACCCAGGTCCTGCTCTGTGCCCTGACTTGTGACTCCTGCCTTCTGGAGCCGCCCACTGATCTTGGTTCACCTGGCCTGCACTTGGGACTCTCCTATCTATACAATCAGAAGCTGTTTCCTTGATATAATCTTAGCTTTATATCGCTGCTGTTGTCATTAAGTGCTGTAAAGATGGTTCTGACTCACAGCAACTCTGTAACTAGTAAGCTTGAATTGCCAACCTTGCAGTCCAGCGCATTAACCCACAGTGCCACACCAGGACTCCTGTATGTAGCATTTGTTTTATTTCTCTAGAGATCTCAGCCTTTGACATGTTGGTTCTGTGTTATGTAAACTTCAGTTCCAATTATTAACTTTTGTTAATTCAGTAGGTTGTTTTCTAATTAGGTGTGTCTTGTATGCAAAAGCTAAAAGAAAGGTTTGTACATCTACTATCAAAGTGACCCTGAGAGCCAGCTCCCAACAAATTCCACCATCAAAGAGACTTCAGCACCCAGGATCGTGCCCAAACCAACCAAACTGCTTTCCTGGATATCACTGAGAATACTTTTCTCCAACCAAAGTAGGATTTCAAAGGCCTAAAGTACAGCCAAAGGCCTAGACCCTATGCGGACTGTAGGGAAGAGCTGGCTCAGTGGGCAGCAGGAGCCAAAAGGACCAGAAGTTGGAAACAGGCACAACGAGACAAACACACGAGCAAGGCTGCGATAGGCACCTGCAATCCATGCTCAGTGTCATCACCGGCCACTCCCCTGCCTGAGGCCCAGGCATGACAAGAGGCTGGGGAGCAGTGGTGACCAGCTGTGTCCACCCTCAGAGACAGGCTACCTGGGCTGGCTGAGACCAAGGGCGTAACAGCCCAGGAAGACGGCTTTGGTACAGGAAGTAGGCTGGAGGGAGGCAGGCTGCCTGTCCCTGCTGGTGGGGGGTGGGGCCGCTGTTAGGAGAGGGCTGCTCTGGCAGGCAGGGGGCACATCCCAGGACACAGATGGTCCTTTGTCAGGGCCTAGCTGGGATTGCAAAGCAGTCTTCCCAAACAACAAAGCCTCTCTGTCCCTGGGGCTCCCCTCCACCCAGAACGCCGCCCCCAGGAAGTGAGCAGAGCACCAGGGCGCTCACCCAGAACCCACCCACCCCCCACCACACACACATCAGGCACATCTCACAGTTGTGGGTTCGACCAGGGCACAGGGCGGACACCTCAGTCAGGGAAGCCCGGGCTCCTACAGGTAAGACAAGCCTGTCCCCAGGGAGGCCTTCATGAGCTGAGCCCACCCAATGTGGCCTCTTGTGACCCCTGAGGAGGCCAAAGTCCGGACAGTCCCACCCAGAGTACATGTCCTGCTCAGAGACTCCATGGCGGCCCAGGGGAGGGGGCAGGCTGAGCCATGGGGGACAGTGCATCTAGGGCTCCCAGTGTCCATGTGGCGGGATCCAGAGGAGTTCTGGTAGGGCACCCACTAGTCTGGTCAGCTCCTGCCGACACTGTTCCTGAAGCCAGCCCAGCGCTGCCTCCAGGCAGGCCTCCTTGCTCCTCAGTGCCCCAACTGCCTCGGTGACGTGCAGGCCCCAACCTGGCAGAGCCCCGGTCTCACTCCTCACCAGCCGGTGCAGTCCATGGAGCTGGGTTAGATCTGCCCCTTGCTCCCAGGTCTGCCGCAGGACTTCCAGTTCCCGCTCCACAGCCTCCTCTGTGGTCTGCATTGCAGCTCTCCACTCGGGCTCCCGGGCCAGGACCTGTGGAAAAGGGGGGAGGTTCATAAGCCAGAGGGCAGGTCATGCCACCAGGACCCTCACCTCGTGTCCCCTTGTCACACCCCAGAGAGGACTGACAGGCCAGCCTTCACCCTGGGACCAGCTCAAAAAGGCCCAGCCCACCCAATCCCGCACCTCTCCTCCCTTACTTACCACCCGAGCCCCTAAGTCAGTGGACCAGTCTGAACTCAGCACCACCCCCGAGCACCCAAGTGTCCTGGCCAGCCCTCCTGATCCACTTTCTGTCCTCTGGCTGAGACAGCTGACCCTCCAGGCACTTCCTGCCTATGTGGACAGCTAGTCCAGGGGCCACCGCTAAAGACAAGCTTTGAAGAGGTTGGCTGCTACCATGTGGTATGCACCCTCATTGCAGCCACCCAAAACGAAAAGGTCAGGCTGAGAGGCACCATACCTGCAGTCCTTCAAGATTGTGTCCCCAAGTCCTGTTGGGGAAGGGGCCAAGAAGCCAGCCCCGTGCTGCCCTAACAACAAAGCACATGGGAGCATGAGAAGGATGGTGGCCCCTGGGCAGCGGTCAGCAGCTGCAGTCACCTGGCTGGGGTGAGGCTAGCTGGCAAGCACGGAGGGATACAGTCTGCACTTTAGAGGCAATGAAGACTTGGGGAGAAAAATCACACCTGCAGCTGCTTTCTTTGAATGCTTCGGAAAAAATAACGAAGCAGCAAATGTTAACACCTGGGGGTGGTGTCTTCACTCTACTGCCATCGGGTCAATTCCGACTCACAGCTACCCCACTAGACAGAGAAGACCTGAGCCCTAGGACTTCAGACACTGGATATCTCTACCGGAATAGACAGACTCATCTCCCTCCTAAGGAGTCCTGCTGTGGCTTAATGCACAGGGCTGCAAAGTCACTTTAACCATAAGGTCAGAAGTTTCAGCTCACCAGCCCCTCTCGCAAACTCTATACAGGGTCGCTATAGGTTGGAGCAACTTCACGGCACTCAACACCAAATATCTTTATGGGAACTGACAGACTCATCTCTCTGTCCTAAGGAGTGCTGGTGGGTTTGAACCACTGGTTATGGATTTAGGAGCCCAATATTTAACCCACAGTGCCACCAGGGCACCTTTAGCAGGGTAAAAGCCACCACTCTGGAGAGACCTATGAGGTCTGGGCAGGCCAGCTGGTCACTGTACAGCCTTATAAGGTAACATAACTGACAGACAGAAAGTGCTCTGTGCCCCCAAGAAGGCAGGCAAGCCTCTGATTGGTTCACCCACATCCCAAAGCAAGCTCCATCCAGCTAGAAGGACTACATGGGTGGGGTGGACTCAGGTGCAGATAGGCCCAAGTTTCAACAGGGAGACTCTGGAGATGGGACATGCAGGGGCAGGGCCTCCACTCCTGTGAATTTGGGGCCAGGTAAATGTATCACCTCCTCATAAGCTGAACCAAACTGAATAGTGTGGCCCTCCTAGTGTGCTTGCCCGGCCCCTGGAACAAGCTTCTGGGAAGAATAGCACAAGAGGCACTGCTGACCAAGTGGGTGAGTGGGCTCACCTGGACTGCCCACGCTGTCCGCCTTGCCTCCACAGCCGCCCCCAGCTGTTCCTGCAGAGCTTGCAGCTCCCAAGCCAACAGCTCCAGCCCCCTGGTCCCTTGGTCAGAGATGCGGGGCAGAAATGTGGGCTGTGAGCCAGTGTCAGGTGGGCCTGGGGGGCTAGCATCCAGGACTGTGTCCTGCAGAGAAACCCAAGTGAGAGAACAGCGGCACAGGTCACCCGGCTTCGTAACCAGGGGGGCCAAGAAAACAGGGGATGAGGGACATCAGCCCCCTGACCCTAAGCCATGGAGACCCAAAGGCCAGAGAAGTCTGAGCTAGTGGCAGGCATCCCCGGGTGGCCCCACGTGGGTCTTGATGTCCAGCCTACCAGGAAAAGGCCCAGCAAAGCTATGTAACCCACCAGTCCCAGGTCACCAACTGCCCAATTAGGCCAGACCAGCGCAACCGTATAAGATCTGAGGGTGACCAGGACTCTGAGACCTTCAGAAGCCACTACAGAGAGACAAAGCTTAGGTAAGCAAGGGGCTTCAGTGTGGGCGCAACAAAGGCACCCTGGAGGCACCTCTGACATCACCACTCTTCAGGCCTGGGGACTTCCGATCAGTTTATGACCCAGAATGGACACCCGAGCTGTCACAGGAAGTTCCTCCCAGCACCTCTGAGCCAGCTCCCTTGTTCCCCTTGGAGTAACCTGAGGCTGGCTGAATCAGCAGAATCAACAGGTTGAAGCACTTGTGCTGGCTGTACAAGCTGCGGTCAGCACCAAATGTGCAGGGCCTGCCACTGGTGACCAAATGGCCACTACTCAGTCTAAATGTCTGAGGTTTGACCGGGGAACCAGAGACCCGAGTATGCCCCTGCCCCTACAAGGACTTCCTGGCTGCCCACACTGCCCAAAAGGCCCCTCGTCTAGCGTTTCCAGTGGCAATCACAGCTGGTCCTGCACATTCATTGTAAAGTGAGCCTGCCAAAGGGAAGGGTGAGGACCCAGGGGCTCCAGCTGACTTTCTGCCCCCGCCCCCCCAGTCACTGTGGTCTCGGCTGGGGGCAGGGGCGGCATTACCGTCCACTTCCAGAAGACTGGCTCCAGGCGGCACCAGTCCAGGGCAGCCTCCAGGCGCGCATTCTCACACTCCAGCCTCTGCAGCAGCTGCGAGCCACAAGGGTCAGTCAGGACAGGGGCCCACACCCACCCTCACATCCCAGTAGGCCTCAGGGAAGAGTCACCATTCTCCCCCACCCACCGCCTGGTCTCACACTGGGCCTGCTCCTGACACCAGAACTGAGGCCCAGACCGGTGAGATGAAGAGGGTGGAAGTCTCAGGGGCAGGGAGAAAGCTGAGGTGGTCCAGGTAAGGAGGTAAGGACCAGACCAGGGCCCTGGGGCAGAGAAGACAGAGGTGAATACCGGGGAGGGGCACAGTGGGCTCCACCATCCCCTCATGATTTTTAGCGCAGAGCAGCCTGGGAGAGTGGGACACACACACTGCTGTCCTACATGCTCACAAACCCATTTCTGCTGGGGGGGGGGCAGTGAGCACCTGCTTGAGAACCTGTTAGGAGCCTGCTGGAAGGTGGCAGCCAAGTCAGCCCACAGCAACGCTGGAGACTGGCCCAGAAGACCACTCACTTGCTAGATTGCTAGGCCAAGGGCCAGGGGTCCCCAGCAAAGACTCACCGTGAGTTGGGGAAGCCCCAGAGCTCCCAGGCAGCCCCGCTCAGTCCTGGGACTCACCCAAGGACACCCACGGCTGCAGCACCCCATTCTACTGCCAATCAAGACCCACCTGAGAGCTGGTTAGTGCCTCCCCTTGCCCACCAGCCCACTCCCCATTCACACATAAGCCACTGGGCATTCTAGAAACTTCTGGGACCTATGTTCAGGCAGGCTGGTCCACGACAGGCCAGTACCTTCTCCAAAACCTTGAAAGGCTATGGCCCATACACCAGCACCACAGGTGAGATCTGACACACGCCTTGCCACCAAGGCAGGACCCGGGGGACACCAGGGCAAGAAATCTGGGCCCCACTGAGTTATTCTTCAGTGAGGATCAGAGCCAAGGGCACACTGGGACACTCGGGTAGGACCGCAGCACCAGCCAGAGCCAAACACAGGCCCTGTGCAAATGGGCCCAGTGGATTTGGCCAGGACACAAGCAGAGAGCAAGGTCCACACAACCATGGGTGGCATCTCTCCCTTCCCCACCCGACTCCAACCCCTGCAGGCCCAGGACAGGCCGAAGTCCAGCCTAGGAGAGATGGTGCTGACACACGGACAGCATAAGACGAAGAACAGAAGGTGGAGAAAGAGAAGGGGAGAACACAGGGTCAGGAGGAAGTGGCCAGACAAGAAGGACAACGCCTGGAGCCTCGAGCCAGGCCCACCCAACAGTTTTCCCTTAGTGCTCAGCAGGCCTGAGACCTGAGACGGGGACAGAGGTCAAGGAAGGCCACATGGCTTCCACCAAGGTTTTGTCCAGGACCCTGAAGCACCATTGCCCCGGGAGGGCCCTGCCTAGAAAACACTGTGCCCACACATCGAGGGCCTCCTCTGAGTCACCAGTGGGCAGAGCTGCTAGAGTAACCCTGCCATGTGCTTCTGACATTCCTGTGGGCCCTGCCCAGCTACACCCCGCAAACACATGCCTCTCACCCATGTCAGATGATGGTGAATTTGGCAAACAGGAAAAGATACACACAGCTCGGCCCTCCTCCTCCCCCACGAAATCCCCTGCTGGCTAGCACCCTCTCCCGGACCCAGCCCAACCTCACCTGCTTGCCAACCTCTGGGTCGCTGAGCAGTTCCACTTCAGCAACAGACAGATGGCACAGATTCCGGTCACTGTGGCAGCCCCGTGTGTACTGGTGAATCTGAAACAGACAGTCCCCAGACTGGGTGGAGACATCTACGCAGGGTCACAACAGGAGGCTCCGTGCAGAAGGAGGTATTCCAGCCACCATAAACTCCCTTGGTCGGATAGCCCACCTTTGGTGTCCCCACCCCACCCAGCATCCCAGCCAGGGTACAATGCCCATGAAGAGAGGCACCCCAGCTTCTCCCATTGGTGGAGAGCCAGGTGGTAAGTAGAGAGAGTGGAGGCCCATGGAGGAGGCATGGGACCAACTGTCTCGGAGCAGGGGGTCCTAGAGAGCAACCCAGCTGAGGTTTCTCCTTAAGGAAAAGCTGGCTAGAATCAGGACCTAGAGCTAGAGGGAGTTGGTCACCTCAGAAAAGGACAACAAAGTCACAGTTGAGGATAGGCACCTGCTAAGAGGGGTGTCTCAGGCTAGGGGCTTCCCAAAAGGACCCTTCCAGAAGGCCACGTAGCCTTGCCCTAACCTTACACTGGACACAGTGCCAGGCCCCTAGCAACTGACTTCCCTGCCAGCCTTCAGGTGACCCCCCTGCCCATGTAGACCCCCTAAAGAGCACTCAGGAACAACAGTGGGCTCCCCAAGCTCAGTGCCCAGGTCAACACCAGGCTCCTCTGGGGTGCTCAGGACTCCAGGCCTCCTCCCAGCTAGGGCCTTGGCCAATGCCAACATGAACTCACAGATGTTGACAACCACACCGGATGAGGTATAGTCAGCTGTGAAAAACCACACAGTTGAGCAGATTCTCCTGGAATACCACCCACAGGGGACCCCAGGAGTCTTACAGGGCTATGGGGATAGAGGAGTCAGAACCCTATTCTGAGGATACCCTAAATACGGGTGGGAAACACGGGCCCCTCTGCCTCAGATACGTGCTCCAGGGCAGGGGAGACCAGCACCCCATTCTCCCCTCTGCAGTCTGTACCTTCCGACCATCCTGCAGATGGTCCTCTCATGAGGCTTAAACCAGGCTGACCACACAGAGCAGTGGACTCTGGTGATGCTGCCCCCAGGGCCAGCGCCTCCGTGAATGAACTCACCCTTAGACGAAAAAGTTAACATTCACCAGGACCATCCTGAAGATCTGCCCCGCGCTGTCCCACGACATTGTCACCCATCACTGACAGAGTCTGAAGTTGCTACAGACTTCAACGGACAGCCACATCCGAAACCTGGCTTCTGCCCCCTGCTGGTCCTTCTTGCACCAGCACTGCCGAAACCCAAACTGCTACGTCCCAACCCCAGCCTAAGACACCAGGCCATAACAGTACCCAAACCCAGGAGCCCAGCCAAGGCCAGGCCCCAACTGTTCAGACCCCAGAAAGGCAGCAGTACCTTGCTCAGGAGAGCGCAATGCTCCTGGTGGCTGGAGATGAGGTTGCGCCACTGGAATCGCAGCTTTCCCATCAGCCACTGCACATGGCGCACGTCGAGGCAGCTGTTGGAGTCCTTGCAGGCTGTAGGCTGGTCAAGGCTGGCCCTGCCCCGGGCTAGGTCCACACACTGCAGGTCGGGAAGAGTCAGGCCTGTCCCACACCCCCAGCAAAGGCCTTACAGATACCCGGATGCAGGGAAGAGGAAGGGGCCCCTGGAATGAGAGCTGTGGGGTCTCGAATGTCAAAGAAGTTGGGACTGGGCCCGGCTCTGAAGAAGGGCAGAGGGGTCTTTACAGGGCAGGACTAATGACCACCTGTAACGTCCTAGGGCTAAGGCGGCGGGTGACGCGGATGGGCAGCTGCGCTGAAGCTCTAGCCACCACCACGGAGACAAGGGTTCAACGGGTTGCAGCCGTCAGTCTCTGAACCTCGTACCCACCTCGCACACAGACATCTCGTCGCCCAGCCGCACTCGGGTACAGGTCAGCACTCGCTCAAGAAGGGGGCCACGGGCCAGGAGCCAGGACAGAGCCAGCAGGAGTTCACGGCTGCCCTGGGTGCCATCCTCCGGGAGCAGAGCCAGTGCTGGCCGAGGGTAGCCCTGGGAGCGTAGCGTTGACTTCACCCAGCGAACCTGGGCTTCTGAGGACAGAGGGCAGTCAGTTCAGAGGGGCCGCACCAAGCAGATCCCACCTGATCTCTCACCGCCAGGCTTCCAACAGCACTCCCAGGACCCCACTTCACCCCCAAAGAGAAGCCTGGTTTAGAAGGGCTGCCAGCAGACAACTAAGGTTAATGAAGCGGGTGGGGCCAACGGCTAATTGGGTGGGCTCTATTGGGCGGGGCCTGGGAAACAGGCAGTGTGCAGGGGCGGGGCAGGGCTAACTAGGGGAGTATACAGAGGCGGGCAAAGGGCGGGGCCTACGGGGTGGGCGGGGTCATAGCTTGGGGCTTTCAGGGGCGAGGCCTATCGGTGAGGGTGTGGTCTCTGCGTGGGCGTGACTTGCATGGGGAGGGACCTACCCGGAGTTAGAGACGTGGTAGCGCAATCCTCAGGGACCTGCGAGAGCACGTGAAAGAGCAGCTGCCAGAGAGCAGGGACCTGCGGAGACAAAGGGCGGGCGGTCTGCGAGGTCCACTTCCCCGCGCCCAACGGGCCCCACTCTCGCGCTGTCGCCCGCCCTGCGGGCCTTACCGCCTCCGGGAGGTCGAACTTGGCACGACGGAAAATCTCAGGACTAGGTCCTGTGGGCAGCGTCCGGCTCAGTGCGGCGATGGCCTCTGGCAGGGCCTCCGCCCGGACCCCAACCCTGCAGTCTCCCCGCTGCTGCCGCCACCGCCGCCGCCCCATGCTGCGCTCAACCGCCTTGCTCGGATCGCCCGCCGCAGGCAGCCAAATCTCCGCGTCCAATCACTGCGCTGACTTGGTTCCAACACCCAATCACCACCGCCGGCTTGGTCTTAGCGTCCAATCACTGCTGACAATAGTGGCGCCGGCCCCGCCTCTACTTCCGCAGCCCAATCAGTGGTTGGCGTTTGGTCCACTCGACCTAGTACGGTCGCACTTCCGGGCTCCGAGCGGGGGCGAAATGGGGTGACGCATCTGGCTTTCTACCCTCAGGTTCCTATTCTTGCCGGGTCCCTGACATTCCTACCAGTCTGCGACGTGGTCCAGGGCTGTGGGGACATGCTACGTTGCCCCAGCGGTGGGGACAGGGCGGGCAGCCCCGACGGCCTTTGTGGGGAGTGGGCCCTTAGAGGGGAAGGTGACTGGTGGCTTTCCAGCTCCCCAAAGCCCCCCAACGCTCCCTGTCTGCCATTTGCAAAATCTGGCTTTCTTTTTTTTCAGAGCTAAACATCGATTTACAGTGTTACTCAAATAATTTTTGTTGTAAGTTGTGTGTAGTTGATGCTGACTCGTGGCGATCCCTTGGAACCTATCCAGGCTAAATGAGCACACATGTTCACACGGAAGTTCATGGCAGCTTTGTTTATAATAGCCAAAACGAAACAACCCAAGCCTGATAGATGGGTAAACAAAATGACCTATCCACACAATGGGACCTTGTTCAGCAGTGAGATTGAACACACTTCTGTGTGTTACAAGGCAGAGAAGGCACAAGGGCTACACTAAGCAAGAGTGGGGAGAGGGCTGGGAGTGACCAGAAGAGCGTCAGGGGACTTTGGGAAGTGACAAAAATGTTCCAAAATTAATGGTGTTGGTTGCACAACTCAGCAAATTTGATACAAATCACAAAGGTGAATTTTATGGTACGTAGATCATAGTTCAGTAGGGTTGTAAGAAGACAGAGAAGAGCGGGAAAGAAAGAAAAGGAGGCGAACAACAGAAAGAAGGGGTCTGAAAGAAATAAACCCCGTCTTCTTTGGACATGAGCCTTCCACCCTCCTAATCAGGGCTGCGCCCACAGGAAGCTCACAGCCCACCAGCCGTCATTCTCCTGCCCCACCCTTCAGCGCTCCTTACAACCCATCAACCCGTTGGCCACAGCCCCATTCATCCCACTCCTAGCGGGCTGTTTCTCTCACAGATTTTATCAAACGGGCCCTCCCACTTGGACCGCAGTTGCCTGTGCCCCTCCAGAGTCCACCTTCAGCTCAGGCCAGGAATGCCGTGGGCTTCCAGCCTGGCCCTTCCTTCCCTGCACACTGCAGCCCAGCGTCAGTCCTCCCACACTCCCTGTTGCCTTGGGAATACAGACCACACTGCTTACTCCTGCTTCGTGTCCTTGGACCCTGTGAGCCCTTTCCCTCTCAGAACCTTGGCACCCGTGTGCCTTATGCCTGTTGTTGTTAGAAACCATCGAGTTGGTACTGATTCATAGCGATCCTATGCACAACACTGCCTAGGATGCTGTCTCTCTCCTGTGACCTTGCCCACTGCTCTCCTTGTGACAGTGACTAGGGAGAATGGCAGTCTGGTGGCTCAGGCTGCTGCCCCCAGCATGCTCAGAGCCGGCGAGCCTTCTGTATCACCCCCAACCCTGCAGTAGGAGCTCTGGTCACCAACTGTACCCGAAGCCCCCAAATCTCCAGTCCAATGCAACTTCCGCATCTTGGAATTCTACCAATCACAACCCCTCCCCACCACCCCCGACACATGCGCACTGCCTTTCCAGCTCAGGATTCCAGTACCCCCACCCTATCCAGAGCCAAGACAGGTCCTGTCAGGGAAGGAGGCCCAGAGGCCCCATCAGCTCATGCTGTCTGCTTTGACAGGGGAATTTCCTTAAGGCCCCAATCCACGAGGTAACTCAGTATTTCAGATCCCCCCCTGGGTAAGTCCCTACAATGAGAGCAAACGGGGTACAGTGTGTAGCGCAGGGTGGAGCTCTCTAGGCAGCTGGGCCACTCTACAGAGGTTGGGGGGAGGTGTATAGCAGGAAGTGGGAGAGGAGCGGGCAAAACCTCAAATGTCTCTCAAAAAGAGAACTGCAGGAGCTGCAGCTGCCTCACCCCTGTACCACCCTCCCCTCCGCATCCCAGGCCACCCGTGGTCCAGCCTGGAAAGCTGTGCTGTCCTCACCAGGCCCAGAACTAGCAAGACTGTGTGTATGATGGTGGGAGAGCTTTGGTTTTCTGTAGGCACTGGTCCCAAAACCTGTCCAGATGGCCTGAACTCTCACCCACCCCTGCTCATGGTCAAGGCAGGAAGGGTGGATGCTGAAAAGGTCCAGGTCAGCCCCAGCTGAGTCCATCCTCACGTGTGCACACATGATCAGCACATACATATATACAAGGTCACTGGCCTTCAGAATATCTGCAGTTTATTGAGGGTGTGAAGGGCTATAGGAGAGCTGTGGATGCCAGGGGACAAGGCCGGGCATCTGTCTGAAGGGTCAGCAGGCCATCAGGGGGTGGGGTCTGCACCTAGAGGATGGAGGAGTGTGGCCTTTGCCCACCCAACATGCTTGAAGGCAAAAGGCAGTCAGAGGCAGGAAGGTGAGGCTGGGCTGCATGGGCAGGTACTTGAATTTACTTGAAAGTGTGACTCTCGGCTCCACCCCGTCCAAAGCCTGCAGAGAAAAGGTCGGCAGGTTAGGGAGGGTCACGGGCTGTGGGGGACGGGTCACAGGTCGTGGATACATACCTTTGGGCCCGAACATGGCGGAGTAGCAGGGGTGGTTACAGTAGGGCTTGCCTTCATGCTGTGGAGAGAAGGGTGGTGGACAGTCCTTACCCTGTGCCCCTGCACCCATCTACATCTCAGGTGACCCTCCGACCCAGACCTATCCTCGGTGGGAGCCCTAACCCACTCTCCCCTTGCGCCCTGCACCCCTCTACATCTCCCAGATCGCGGCACCCCCCACCTCAGGTAACCCTCCAACCCAGACCCTAACCCACTCTCCCCCTGAGCTCTGCACCCAAGGCCTGTGGCCCAGCCCCTGCCTCACCTCGGCATGGCCCCCAGAGGTCAGTGTCTTTCCACATTTCTCACACTTCAGGCAGGGCCGATGCCAGTCCTTCCCGAGGGACGTCACCCGCTCAGCTGCAGAGCACAGACGGGCATGAGACGCTGCTCACCACATGGTACCTCTCACACCCGCCTCCCGTCCCTTCCAGTCACCTCTGTCCAGGGCCTTGACCACCAAGTGGTCATTCTCTCAGCCTGACCCTGTGAGCATCTCGCTAAATCCAGCCAGTACAGACAGGAGGCCGGTGCTGAGCCATGGGCAGGTCCCAGATGGCCCGATGGGACAGGAGGAAGACAGGGTGGGGAGGTGATAGGGGGACTGCGCAGGTGGCCTGGGGTCAGGCTATCCGGTTTTCAGCCCAAGGCCAATGCTAGTTCGCTTACCACTGTTGGTGTTGTGGCGCGCGCTGTTAGGGGACTTTACCGCTTCCTCGCACCCCTCCCCCGTGGGTGCGGTCGGGGGCAGGCCCTGGCCTACGGCTCCCTACAGCGCAGGGATAGAGGAGCGCGCCCTGTTCTTGCCTCGGGCTCTCGTTTCCGTGTCTGTTTCTACTTAGCCCTGGGAGGGGCGCTGGAGCCCGCGTTCCTTCCTTTTCGCTGGGTCCCCGCCCAGGGCGCGCCCGGGGAGTAGGGGAGAGAAACCCGGGGACCCGGAGACCCAGAGACGCCGAGAGACACAGGGACGGGAAAAAAGACCGTGAACGATGAAGACAAATGTACAGTGATTCGGACAAAACATGCCAGAGATGGAGACATACAAAAACAGAGATACAGAGACAGGGTGGGGTGGGGGAGGTTGGGGGAAGACCAAGAATCAGGGATACACATGACAAACAGAGAAAGAATGAGAGCGGTCCTGGGAGACCCTAATCAGCCAGACAGCGGGACACTCGACGTCTCAGTACCCCTAGGCCGCCGCGGGCAGGGTTGAGGTCTCCGCTCCGCTGGCCTGTGCCCAACCCCGCGCTCCCGCCACCTGCGTGGCCCCAGCCACAGTGTCCGACCGCTTTTCCACGTCGAGGCGCGCCTTGGCCCCGGGGATAGCCTCACCGAAGTACACCTCCTTGTCGCACTTGGGACACTTGGGCATGGCGGCACCGGACCAAGACGACTGAGATGGGTGCGGAAGGACTGCGCGGATGGTCGGGGCCTCGCCGCGTCCGCGCCTTTCAGGGGCCTGAGCCTCCGCCCCCTTTAGACTCCGCCCCTCGCTCCCCGCCCCTCATCCAAGTCTGGGACCTGGACCTCCGGGACCTCGGATCCAGGCCAGAGGCGGCAAAGGTCATCTGGTCCAACCCCCTTCGGCTGGGGGTAGGGAGAGCGCAGAGGATCTCTGGGGACTCGGAGACGGGACAGGGCTTCTCCAGCGGGTCATGCCCAGTCCCTGCCCAAGGCTCTGGAGTTGCCAGGGTCCAGGATGGAAAACAAGGGACCTTCCCGGGAGTAGGGAGGCATAGCCCATGCCCATCGATACCTGCTCAAGCCCCCAAATCCTCCGGTGCCGGGGAGGGGCCAAGCCCCTCTAAAATGCAAATACACGCAAATCAGCATGTCAGACTTTCCCCCCCCTACACGCTTTGACCCCGCCCTCCCACAGAGAGAGGGCACCCCTTCTGCCTTCCTGCCCACTGCCAGGCCAGGAAACATGCCCCACCACCACCTCGCAGGCCAGCCAGACTCTGCATTCCCCCTTCCCGGAAAGTTTACTCGGACCGCAGGGGAACGTCCCCAGGGAATTCGGAAGGGGCGTCAAGCCTCCTCCCTCTGAGTCCGCGGTCTCTTGGCTTGCGACAAGCAGCAGACGGCCGCACGGGGGCGAGAGACAAGGAAACGCCGGTGCCCAGCGGTTCAAATCTGCCCTGCGGGGGAGGTGAGTCCGACCGAGTGGCGCCTCCTCGGTGCCTGGCGGAGACTGCCGG